TCCTCGTGGTTAAGAGGGTATCTTCAGAAGAAAATCCAACAGATCCCCTTACAAAGGGACTGAGTAGGGTTAAGCACTTGCAGCACGCTAGTAGTATCGGGCTGAAGGACGATATTAGTTTTAGTAATTAGATAGACATTTAGAAACTTGTAATAGTTATAATGTAATTGACATTTGATGATTGAATAAAAGGTGTTTTTATTTATAAGTAAAGTTATTGTCTTGTGTCAATTATTTACTATCGTTTCATTTTGCATGTTTTGACTTCCAGAATAATAAGATTATTCAAACTATCCACAGTTGATCATACTTTGGAAGTAGGTTATGAAAGAAGATTGTCATGAATGGGTTTTCGTATGATTGTCTAAGGTGTTAGACATAGCAAAAGATTGCTACAAACATTCATGAGTGCTCTTGAAATAAGATTTGAGTATTGGACTAAATCCACGCTCACATATCACTTCATGGAATTTATCACGGGTGATTGTGAGACGATAATATTGTATAATCTTCAAACCAAGATATATGAGTTGGCGATTATTTGTTGATTGTACATTTATAGTGCGAAACCGCATCAGTAACTCGATGTTATAAAATATGCTATTATGTATGATTCAATGAATAGTTAGTACAAGCATATAAGTCGAAGTTTATCTGTTCCTTTTATCCTATGAGGATTAAAAGCGATATCTTGGGCCCCTCGATGATTTTGTTTTGACTTATGTGCCGGGCCCGGTCAGAACTCTATTGATTTGTTCAATTAAGTTCTATGACGAACAAATCAGAAATCGGGAAAGAAAATGTTGGACAATGAGTATGACTTTAATTCCAGGTTTTTGTCCACACAATATCTTGTAGAACAGAGGATTATATGATCACTTATCTAATGGACGCGTCAGAGTTCGACAACGGATTTTTGAGAGCTACGATTGCTAATCGGATTTTAAGTTACATTGGCAATTACAGTTATTAGACTTATCCAAGTGGGAGACTGTTGGAAAAGGTGTCTAAGCCAATAACTATAATTGGTATGTACTTGACCCGATAGTAGCATGGTCCATTTTGGTTGCATTCATCAAAGCAATATGTTAGGAAGGATATTTGAGTAAGAGGTTAATTATGATTTATTAATATATTATAAGTATAATATATTAATTGAGGAATCATATTATTTAATTAGTATTGATCAAGAATTAATTTAGTGATCAAAAGAGACTAATTAAAATGATACATATGAGTTGGGCTAAAGATCCATTGTTTTTATTTGTGATGGGCTTATGGGTTAATCCATGAAGTATTTATCCAAATCAAATGGATGGATCATGGGCTAATGTGTATGGATTAGGGTTACACATGACCCTTGATATTCTATATATATATATATATATATATATATATATATATATATATATATATATATATATATATATATATATAAGTACAAAATCACCACCACTTATGGTTGAAGAGTGAGAACCGATTTTAGAGTCTCCATAACCTCTCCATATCCATCATAACTGTTCTTGGTGTTTTGTGATTCCATTTGAGGCATCACACTTGGGGTGCTAAGCCTTCTTGAGGCCAAGTTATTTAACCTACTACACAAGGTAATATTCTAACTAGTTTTTTATGATTCAAATATCACCTTGCATGCTAGTTTAGGCTTCATGCTTTGGAAAATGTTTATTGCATGTATAATTAGAGAAAACTTAGATCCAAAGCATTAGGGTTGTATGTGCACCATAGGAATGTTAGAGTACATAAAACCCAACAGCAACCACAACATAGCAACTATGTCATAAGTTATACAGTGAGAAAACTCACATGAGCTAAATGGAAGAAGCTCTACAACAACCTCAGCAACAGAACAAACAACACAAGCTACCTAATGCCAATCCAAGACCAGTCCTTAGCAAAACACTCAGTTCTACCCAAATTTGACCCAAAAGTCAAACCGGTCAGAAGTCAACGATCAAAAGTCAAAAAGTTAACTTTTGGTCAACCAGATGCTTCGCACCCCTGCTAGGTGCCCTGCGCCTACTATAGGACAAAATAGTCAGATTCTAGACCTAAACAGATGCGTCTTCTGAATTTTAAGTCTCAAAAAGTCCAAGAATGCATCTTTCTCGACTTAATCTAATATGTCCAAGCATTCTACTTTCAGATATGAATCAACATGATGTCTAAATAGATGAAGTTTCCAGCTTTATCCATTATAAAGCCACAAACTTCCAAGATCTAAAACCCTAAGTTCAGAAATGACCAAAAACCTATATTTCTTTATGAATGGAGTAAATAGAACTCATGCATGCACTCTTTACTCAACCAAATGACCATATAACATCCCAAGCATCAGTCAAAAGCTCAAGAGTTCTTCCAACTCAATGGAATAAGCCATAAAGGGACCAAAACTTACTAAAATGGACCAAAAACCCAATAAACTCTTAGATCATGGAGGAAGCACAATAAAGCTTGAAACTTTAGAGTTTACCAAGGTCCAAAGGTGTTAAGAAGGCTGAAATCTTCAAGATCCATTCTTCGTTGCCCAAGCTTTCATGCATCATCACCCAAGAACACGATAGGAGCAAAAAAGAGCACCAAAATGAATTTAGGAGAGAGGATGAGCTCCAAGCACTTTAATGGAGGCAAGGATTTTATTAGAGGCGTTCTAGATGATGCAAAGGCTAAAAATGACGAACTATAGGGTTAATGGACTTTAAATACTCCAAAAAAACACTGAAAAACATGTAACCTACTGGGCCGGAGGCGCCCCGCGCACATTAAAGGGAGCTTCGCGTTTCTCAGATAAATTTTAGATTTTTCAGTTTTCCGCTTTAGCTTCAAAAAATAATAACTTCTTTGTTCTGAACCCGATTTCAGTGATCTTAATATGCAAACGAAGGTATTGATCAGCCTCACAATTTTATCTAATTACCTTTGACTTAAAGCATAGCAAAATTAATTTATTAATGCATTCAAAAAGTCCAGAATATAACATTTTCCCATTTTACCCCTCTATGGCTCCAATACAATTTAGTGGCTTACATTACTTCAACCAATATTATCAACATCTAATAAGGTCCAAACTTTATCGTTTTGAATCCCGATACGTGCTCTTGACTAAATTGAAGTCCGCCTTTCCGAAATAAGAAACTTTTCGAAACTGAATGTTACATTTAGAAAGTGAATATGGAATAATTAGATAACATTTGACTTGATTTCTAATGTTTATATTGGTAAACTTTGTAGAGCCTCAAAATGACAAAGAACTTATATGTATTGGATATTTGATAAGTTTTTTTCTATAGCTTAAGTGATGTAGTTTTGTTACTAAAAATGATAAATGTTATGAAACTTTTTCATACGTTTGTATTCATCTAAAACTATATTTTGTTTTGATATTATACTTTATATTACTTTTTGATGTATTTGGATTGATGTAAAACTTAAGATTATATGCTTTAATGTATTTGGATTGATCTACAACATGTTATGTGAAGTTTTAATGTTTGACTTTGTGATATACAACCCGCTTGAATCGAGAACTAGTCACCATACCGGTTCAACTAAAAACTTGATTTTTAAAACATTGGTCATAGGTCCATGTGGCCAAGTCTAGAAGTAATTAGGTCAAACATTTATTATAAATAGATCTTGCAGTATGATTGTAACCACAATGTAGAAAGTGTATATTCAAGATTATCAATAAATATATATCTATAGTTCGTTTGTAGATTTAGCTTAATTACTCTAATCAAATGAATCACGCTGAATTCTTATGTTCTTAATTGTTACTCACGTCTTGATTATCATATTTATGTTTGTCTAAGTCCTTAATTCTAACAAATTCAACTTTGCTACCACTCATTATTTTCTTTTGTAAAAAATTGTTGTAGTGTAACAAACGATAAGCATTACTTTGATGCAAGAATGTCATACCATGTACATGAAGTTGTTGATAAGGATCATCATAATACACTTGTTATACTCATTTTGTAACCGACTAAATAGTGAGCGAAATTCTGGACAAAAAGCCAATTCTTTTTCGGGGTTATGGAATATCATAATGATTCACGTAAAAACAAGAAGATCGACATAAAAACAAGATGATCCACGTGAAAACAAAAAGATTTGTTGAAACCGGTGGAAATCTCGCATTGATAGTCGTTTCTTTTCATTAAATCGAGTCTTTCTTTGCTAATATTTTTTTTTCCAATCATGTATGTTGATCTGTACATAATAGTTTTTAGTCACACATAGCAATTTTTGTTTTATATGTTTGTACCGTATAACTCCATAAAACACAAATTGTTATGTATTGCAAAATATTATTTTGTAGGGATCACTACCCATGTAATTATCGTATCCATAGCTATCACGTTTCATGGTCTATATGAAAAAATGAACACGTTATTCACAATTACGTTTTTATAGCACATAAAAAATCTTAAATTTTTAATTCATATTTTTATTAGTATCCTCAGATCAAATTAATAGGATTAGCCACATACCTTCGAAGCTGAATATTTTTTTTATGCGAACTCGAGATTTAATAAGTTAAAACCATGGTATGAAACTATTGATTTTCAATTATTCACAACATCCACATTAAATACTTATAGTAATCAAAAAAAAAAACATATCATACATCAATTACAAAGTCAAAACAAATCTATAAATTGATTATCTTTTTGAATGAGACGAAATAATTTATTTACAAATTCATATCATAAAATTTCAAGTGCATCTATTCACAACAAAATTAAAAGCCAATCTACACAATCCCACATCAATTAATTACACCTATTAAATATGTGAATACTAGATTAAGTGATTTACCTATGTTTAGTTAAGAACATTAAATCATCTCAAAAATAAAAAATGCAATATTTTTTTTAAAAGGGCAAAAATGCCACCTCCCCCACCCCGCCCTTCCCCTCTTCCCAATTGGCTTCCTTTTAAACCACGTCTCTTTTTCTCTCTCTCCAAAACCAGTATTTAGGGGCTTGAGTCCTTGAATCTTTTTCTCTTTTTCTTTCAAACCTCTCAATCTTTAAGCTTACTCTACTTTATGGTTTTTCTTTCTTCCATGGCTTCCTCCTTTCTGCTTCTTTATAACCTCCTCATAGCTTTCATTTCCATTTCGAAAACAACAATCTACCCCTAGTCTCCTTAACTAGATTCACCTCTTTCTCTCCCTCTCTTTTTCTCTCTAAGTTCAAGTCTAAAGGCAGTAGATCTACCTCTTTTGCAGTCCTAGACTAGATGTGACAATATTCCTAGGTTTTTTCAAGAAAAGTTGTAATCTTTTTGAGTTTGAAAAGTTCAAAGACTTTTCAGGGGTTTAGCATGATGATGGATAATTACTCTGGGTTTGCGAAAGAAGACGAACAGCAGATGGATTTACCTCCTGGATTCCGATTTCATCCGACAGATGAAGAGCTGATCACGCATTATCTGATCAAGAAAGTTGTTGATAATAGCTTCTCTGCTAAAGCAATAGGGGAGGTTGATATGAACAGAATTGAGCCATGGCAGTTACCTGGTGAGTTTTTTGTTCAATTCAGTTCGAATAAATTCGTCTTTTTCTTATATGTTTGATGAAAATTTCTGACTTTTTTTTCCTGGGTTCCTTTTGTTTTCAATTTTGAATGAAGGGTTGGCGAAAATGGGCGAAAAGGAGTGGTATTTTTTCTGTGTAAGGGATAAGAAGTATCCAACCGGATTGCGCACGAACAGAGCAACTGATGCCGGTTACTGGAAAGCCACCGGAAAAGATAAGGAGATTTTCCGTGGGAAATTGCTCGTCGGAATGAAGAAAACTCTCGTTTTCTATAAAGGGAGAGCTCCAAAAGGGGAAAAAACAAATTGGGTAATTCACGAATTTAGATTAGAGGGTAAATCATCTGTCCAAACCCTACCAAAATCAGCCAAGGTATTGATTCCTCATCCTCTATTCTCCCCTGTTTTTTTCTCGCTCTCTCTGCTCTGTTTTTAGGTGCTCGATGCTTGTTGTTGGAATTGCAGAATGAGTGGGTGATATGCCGCGTGTTTCACAAAGGTTCCGGCGAGAAGAAAGCAAATATTCCGGGGACCATGACTGCAAATTCCGGCGAAAACGAACCGAATCCGACTCATTTCCCTCCACTGACAGACGCTTCCTCACCGTACAGTGGTGGCAGGGTGATTAAATCTGATACCCTCGACGTGCCCTGCTTCTCCAGTCCGATCAACATGCAAACACCTCACAACAACTTTCTCAACAATCCTAGCTACCCTTTTGATCCAAATTCCAACGCTAGTTATGCTTTTCCGGCAGTCCAATCCACTCCAACTCTGGAATCCCAATCCAATTTCCAATTCCAATTCCAGTTCCCGACAGGCTACACATTTCCAGGCCAAGAACAATCAATCTTGAAGGGATTACTCGAAAACAATGGGTTCAAACTGGAAAGAGAGATGGGTACAGGTTCGCAAGAAACGGGATTGAGCAGTGAGATGAACACAGAGATCTCTTCAGTTATGTCTAATCTTGAAATGAGAAAAAGGGCATTTGAAGATCAAGAAGCTCCATCTACTTCCGTTGGACCAATCGACATAGATTGTTTCTGGAATTACTGAACAAGAATCCATAATTAAGAAGATGAAGATAATGAAGATGATATGAAAAACCGTTCTTCATACATGAATAGAGTATTTGAGTGTTAGATGCATATAATTTTCTGATGCTTGAGACAAATATTTCAGGTAATGAAGAAACTATTACAATGTAAGAGATTATATGGTAATTAGTATTTTAATATTGTTAATATCCTCTATAAAAATATTAGTGGGAGTTTTATATATTTTTTGAATATTATTTTCAACGCTGTAGAATTCCCGTTTTTCATTTGTTAAATTATAAATTCTTTGTTTTTGTTTTTTACTAAACAATTGTACGGCTTTCAACATTTTCTAAATTTTCAACTAAACATATATATATATATATATATATATATATATATATATATATATATATCTCTCTCTCTATATATATATATATATATATATATATATATACAAAACTTCAAAAATGGTCCCTGTAGTTTCCGAAAATATCAAGTTTAGTCCCTAAGTTCAAAAAACCTCACAGATGGTCCCTGTGGTTTCAAAACTTTTAACAAATGATCCTTTTCGCTAACTCCGTTAACATTTAGCCGTTAAGTGAAGGGCATTTCTGTCATTTCACAACCACAGGGACCATTTATGAAGTTTTGCCTTAATTTTTTTTAAAAAAAAGAAAAATAATTATAATTATTTAATATTAAACACCATCTCTCTCTCTCTCTCTCTCTCTCTCTCTCTCTCTCTCTCCCCCTCTCTCGTGAATCAAATCATTCTTCGTTGCCCCCACCATCGCATCATCCTCACCGTTTGTCACCACCAAATTCTACCACCGGTTCCTCTGGTAAACACTCCGATCCCCATCCCATCCTTCTCTTCCTCCCTAAAAGTTCACCAAGAAATTGAGCCTGAGTAACAGACATGAAATCGATTAGCAACCCCAATGAAATCATTCACAAAATCAAGAAACGGGTTCTCCGTTTTAGTCACCGGAGCAGCCAGAAGACGAAATGGGGACAACCCTCCTCCACCCCTCCTCCTGTTGATCGGAAACAACCAAACACTCCTCCACCCCTCCTCCTGTTGATCGGAAACAACCAAACACCCCTGAGGATCGCTGCTTCCCTCCGCTGCTACTTCGCTGTTTCCTTCCCTTCCTCCCTCGTGTTTTTCCAATGGAACAAAGAAGGAACGACCAAGGAGGCCACCGGAGCAACCCCCCTTGCTGTAACAGTCACCCAACATCATAAGTTACCTTCATTTTCTTCCTTCATTTTGACTGCTTCCATTCTTGTTCCTTCTTCCCTTTACCGATCAATGAAGAAGAGGAGTAAACCAAAAAGGGGTTATCGGTCTCGACGAACACCCTTTTCCCTCCTCGTGATTTCCCAGCCGCACCGGACCTCCCATCGATCTGCCTTTCGTTCGTCTGTTCCTTGCCCAATCTGATGGATACGATGATTATTTAAGGTCAAACTTGGTTTGGCTTTTTGGGGAAGATGAAGCTATAAGAATACGTACTGTACAAGTCTCAAAGCAATAGGGGGGGGGGGGGGGGAGGAGAGAGAGAGAGAGAGAGAGTGTGTGTGTGTGTGTGTGTGTGTGAGTGAGAGAGAGATCAAATTTCTTTCATTTTTTCCTTTTTTTTTAATTAAAAAATTAAGATAATAAGAGAAAACCTCATAAATGGTCCTAAGATATTGAAATGACGAAAATACCCCTCACTTAATGGTAGAAAGCTGACGGAGTTAGGCGGAACGACTAAACATTAAAAGTTTTGAAACCACAGGGACCATCTGTGAGGTTTTTTGAACTTAGGGACTAAACTTGATATTTTCGGAAACCACAAGGACCATTTTTGAAGTTTTGATATATATATATATATATATATATATATATATAATATATATATATATATATATATATATAGGTTCAGGTTAATTTGAAACCATACCAATTTTGTGACACCGTGAGACGCAATCTAAAAATAATTTTAAAATACAAAATAAAAGGTAAAACTCCAAAAATTCTATTTTTAATCATTATTTTCGACACTTTTTTAACCTAAAAAATATAAAAATAATAAAAAATAAATTATCGTTTTTTTTGAAAAATACGTGAAATATTCTAATAAAAATATTACACTGTGAATATTCTAATGTAATTTTTAGAATGTTAAAATATTCTACTACATTTGTCAGATATGAAAAATATTATAATATTCCACTAGAATATGTAAAAAAACGGTATTTTTTTTTTATTTTTTGGTATTTTTTTTAGTTTTTTTTTGGAAAATACAAATGACGAAAATAATATTATTTTTTTTTTTGAAAATTTTCAATTATTTTGCATTTTAAAAATGTTTTTTTTAATCCATAAAATGAATAACTAGGATTGCGTCTCACGGTTTCACAAAATTAGGTCGTTTCACATGAACCTAACCCTATATATATATATATATATAATATATATATATATATATATATATATATATATATATATATATAATAATATATATCTATATATATATATTATATATAAAGAGAGAGGAAAAAAGAAGGTCCGAACAAAGAAATGAATCAGGGTCACTCATTTGAATCCGCCGCTTAAACGTTTAACATATCGAGTCGATAGAACAGATCATATTTATCTAATTATTATCCACCATTCGTTGTCCGATACGACGAAGCGTTTATGAAAAACAGAATAATTGATTTATATATATATATATATATATATATATATATATATATATATATATATATATATATATATATATATATATATATATATATATAGGGTTAGATTCATGTGAGACGGCCTAATTTTGTGAGACCGTGAGACGCAATCGTAACCACTCATTTTGTAGATAAAAAAAAACATTTTTAAAATACAAAATAATTGAAAATTTTTGAATTTTTTTTCAAATATTATTTTCGTCATTTATATTTTCCAAAAAAAATTAAAAAATACCAAAAAATAAAATAAAAAATAAAAAAATACTGTTTTTTTTTTACATATTCTAGTAGAATATTAGAATATTTTACATATCTGACAAATTTAGTAGAATATTTTAACAATCTAAAAATTACATTAGAATATTTAGTGTAATATTCTATTAGAATATTTCACATATTTTTCAAAAAAAAAGGGTATATTTATTTATTTATTTTATTTTTTTTAGATAAAAAAATGACGAAAATAATAATTAAAAAAAGAATTTTCGGATTTTTCCTTTTATTTTGCATTTTAAAATTATTTTTAGATTGCGTTTCACAGTTTCACAAAATTAGTATGGTTTCAAATGAACCTGAACTATATATATATATAATATATATATATATATATATATATATATATATATATATATATATAAATTTGATAGGAAGGTAAGAAGTTTTTTTTTCTACACATTTTTTTGGCGAACAAAAAAAATGAATAAAAAATAACATGTTTCACAAAAAAATTTCCCATAAAAACATCTTGATAATTCGTTTTAACGTTGATTTTGTTGTTTTTCACTAAAATTGTCATAAAAGTGGATTTTTTTCTTGATTTACTTAAAAATGAATAATGAATGTGTCTTTTTTAGAATTTGTTTCTTATGAATTATCTTACATTTGAATCATCTAATAATTTATTTTGTTTGTTGGCTAAAAAAATATGTATATAAAAAATTTGTTATATTTTTACCAAATTTTTCCTTATTTTTTGATCTTGGTTCTCTCTCTCTCTCTCTCTCTCTCTATATATATATATATATATATATCTATATATATATATATATCTAGATATATCTATATATATATATATATATCTATATATATGTGTGTGGTGTGTGTGTGTGTGTGTGTGTGCATTAAGTTATTGTATTCTAACTATTTATTGTGTGGATGTAGAGTTGACTGTGTATCAATCATTTTAGTTATTTTAAGAAAGTTATTAATAAATATTATTGAATTAAAAATATTTGAAAAATACTATCTAATTTCACTATAAGAGTAGTTTTGTCAATTGAGATCAATTTAAAAAAGAAAAATTCCAGATTTTTAGAGATAATTAATTCTCTTGATTTAAAAATTCTGATTTTTGTATTTAATTCTATTTTAATTACAACGTAATTTTTAGTTATATTCGATTTATTCTGTCAGAACGATATTCTATAAGAAATGTCATGATACATATTTATTATAGAATACATATTTTGATTAAATGAACTTCTTGAAGAAAAACAACATTTTTGAACAATTGTTTGAAAAATAACAAGATTATTGTATATTAATGGACATCTGAATGTAGATTCATACATATTCTTACAGAATAATAGTATTATATATGTTAATACAAGTATACATATTATAACAGAATATCATAAAAAAGAAATAAATTCTTAAAAAACATAGCATGCTTAAATACACAATTCTTGAACAAATGCACTTGATCTTTTTTAATGGTCTAGAGTCGACTTGATTCCAACCATTCTTAAGTGGATTACATTCTATGAGAATATCTGTCATGAAATCGAATTATGTAAGAATAACATTTTATGAGAATGCTTTTATATTACAAATAATATTACAACTTTAGTAATTCTGACAAAATATTTACAGGACCGAGAAAATGAAAAAGACCGACCAACAACTATATGAGCTCATAATCTAAGGAAAATCTAACCTCAAGCAAAGAGTCTTCTATAAGAATACAATGTCATTCTCACTCTTATTTTCTGTTTTAGTAGTTTGTATCTCATGCTATATTTTGACATGTTGGTGCGGTGAATCTAAATCGTCATGAAATTCTCTCTTAATTTCCAGCCACCATTGTTGTTCCATGCAACCTTGCTACATTATGAATGACCTGAAACAAGACAAAAACACCATTTATTTAATTTTTAGTGTTTTTTTGCTTAACGTGAAGTAAAGTAAAAAAAACACCATTTATTTTATCTTTATGTTTCTTTTATGCTTCTTGTGAATAAAATTAACTACGTGGCAACTTATATAAATGATGTCATACTGTAATGAAATAATGAGGGTTAAAGTTTTGGCAAATGATAAAATGACAGTAATGAATTTGAATTAAAAAATCAAAGGACTACAATATGATTTACCAATAAAATGATATCAAATCCAAATCAATTCACATCAATTAGTATTCCATCAGAAGACATTGACAAATAAGAACATTGAAATCAAGAATACATTATGTATTTTGGTTGTAATCAAACGATTATGTATTCTAATAGTAATTGATTTTCTAAAAAATTAGTAT